TTGGTTTGCCTCCTAAAATTATTGTAATGATTTATTACATAATATTTGATAAAATAATAAAATTTTGCAAACAGTTGTCATTCTTTGATACTTAACAAACAATTTGTTAAAGGCAAAAATCATTTCTTTTTTTATTCAATTATCAAACGTTTTGGACGTAATTATTCATTTGTATAGTAGGTTCATTCCAATTTCCTGGAAGTTAGGAGAATACCTAATGATTTGTATTAAAAGGGTTAAATAAACCTATGTAAGCCACTAAATAGATAAATAAACAAAAGAAAAAGAATGTTCTCTAAAGTGAGGCCACAAAGTGCTTCCATTTTTCCCTCTATTTATTCACTAAATAATGGGCAATTATAATAGAAAAACATATGACCATAAAGGTAGAACTATTTCCTTAAACGCTGCCGATTAAGTACAGAGAGTTATCAAAAATTTCTGAACGCTATTTTTAGAATGTGATTGATATATATAAAAGGTAATGTTTATATACATTTATGTTTGTTTATTTGTTTATTTTGCTTTAAATAACATTTTAACTTCAAATTTTCCTTTTTACTTTTTTTTTGCAACTTACGGCTACAACTACAATAATGAAAAAAATAACGAATTAACTGCAGAGCAACGTAATGTGATAATTTATTATCATAAAAATAGTGATTCACTTGGCCTGCCCAAAGATCAGACCTTAACCCAATTGAAAATTTATGAGCAGATGTGAAAAAAAATATTAAAAATAAAAAGAAAAACCAACTAGCCTTACTGATCTTAAAAGAAAGAAATATTAAAAATGCATGAAAATCAATTTCAAAATGTGTAATTTAAAAATTTAGTTGATAGTATGTCAGCACGAATTCAGGTGGTGATTGCGGCAGAAAGTAGTCTAATTAAATACTAGTTTAATAGTACAAAATGTAGTCTTTAATACCTATAAAATAAAGTTATAATATAGATTTTTTATTGAGTTTTAAAAATTAAACGTTTTATATTGCATAAAAAATCATTTAGAAACTTTTAATAACTCTCTATAGATAAACAATTAACAATACACAAATAGAGAAAGACATTCTCACACTTAGTTTAAAAGTAACTTGCTAGACATATTAGTTTTTATATGCAAAGAAAGATATAACTAATTCCTTCTCAAGAATTAATAGACTTTTACCAAAAAAAATATGCTAAACTAACTACTTATTAGAGAGAAGATCATGAAGAGCTTCTGGTTCTCTACCATACTATTTTAAATTTACTTAAATGAACCAACAATGATTTAAGTCTAATAGACAATTCATTTAAAATAATTTCTTACTCTAATGCAATCAATAATCATTTTTTTTAGAATATACTTCTTTAAAAAAATATTTTTCAGCTGTAAAAATTTCTTCATGTTTATTATCTCATAATTTAAAAATAAAAAAAAAGATTAAATAAATCTAAGCAAGCTACTAAATAGATAAATAAGCAAAAAGAAAAGGACATTCATATTAAACATCAAAAAAATTTAATAGGTATAAGTTACGTAACTTTATATTTTGTAAGTTTTACATAAAGCTACAGGGCCATCAAAACCTTATGAAATATAATACTCTATTACTTTATAAGATGAAATACTTTAAAATCTTACGAAATGGAATACTCTATTACTTTATAAGATGAAATACTTCAAAATCTTACGAAATAGAATACTTTGTCACCTTACAAGATAAAATATTTCAAAATCTTATGCCTTATGAATTTATGATACATAATAATTCAAAGGTTTACAATATGTAAACTTTTGAAAATTTAAGATATATAATATAATATTATAGTAATTTGTATATTAGTGATGCGTAATACATAAAAAGTATATAATGCATACATATTTTATATAATTAATTTATTGTAATATTATCTAAATTTATACTTTATACAATTTAAAATTTATTTATTTATTAAATAAAATATATATATTAACAATAAAATATAAATATTTTATAATAATAAAAAATATAATATAAAATATAAAGAATATTATAATTAATAATATATACTGTAAATAAATAAAGTTAATAGTATTAAATAATGTAAAATTAGTAATATTAGTAATATTTAATATTAAAAAACAAAATAAAATAGATATAATTAGTAATATAAAAATGTTAAAAATAAATAAAATAAATATAATTAGTAATATAAAAGAAAAAATTAAACATATTTAGTAAAAAATTAAAATGTTAACAATAAAATTTAACATTAAAAATATAATATTGTTAACGTGCAAACTTTTCAGGTTGTAACTATTAGACGCGGTATCAGAGGGATGACTCTTTTATAGTTCATGTAATAGTTCTGGTTAGTTTATGATAATCTTAGCTAATTTACTACCAGTTTATAGGTTTAAATTAAGTTTATTAGACGCGAGCAGCTTTAATCACGAGTTATGAATTTTCACAGTTAATTGGAGAAGAGTTTTAAATACGAGGTAAGAAATAGAAATACTTTATTGAAATAAAAAGAAAATAATAAGATAATAATATATGAGAAAAATAAGAAAGAGAAATAAGAAACAGAGGTACACAAGGTGAATAGTAGCGTTGCGCTATCTTTTACAAGAGAGAGGTTCTATACAGCCGTCGGTTCTCTCTAGCTTACAAAAGGGTTCATATTTATATTTATTTTACTACATATATTGACATTTCTAATATATTAACTATATCAAACATATCTAATATGTTAGACATATTAATTATATCAAACATGTTAAACATGTTTGATATGTTTGACATTATCGACATTTTATATTTTGTTACACATTTGTAGATTTATAATCGTCAAGATCATCACCCGATTACAATACGCTAATTAATAAATTATTACTAAAATAAGAAAATTATATTAGTTTATTATGTAAACTTACCTTTTTATATGTAATTTATCTATTTATAGTAATAAATTATGCATATTTTATATTATATAATATATATATACACACTAAAAAATAATAGGTTATGGTACGTTTTACCAAAACCCGTTCTGCCAAAACTCACTTTGTCGAAGCTAATTCACCGAAAGGACATTTTACCGAATGTCCATTTCACCGAATGGACTTTCACCGAAAAGAAATTTCGCTAAATGAACATTTTATCGAGAGGACGCTTCGCTGAAATGATGTTTTGCTAAATCCGTTTTGCCGAATGGACACTTTATCGAATCTGTTTCACCAAAAAGATATTTCGCTAAAAACGTAAATAATTCGCTGTTGGTTGTTAGCAATTTGTCAGATTTACTAAACTTTTTTTATTATTTCTAACGAAATTATTAAGAAAAAACTTACTTTATAATGTAGAACCTAAAAATGATTAGTTAAACAAATGTTATGCAGTAGTCATTTTTAGCGAAATGTTCTTTCAGTGAAACAGATTCAGCGATGTGTCCGTTCGGCAAAAAGGATTCGGCAAAATGTCATTTGGCAAAATGGCATTTTGGCAAAGTGTTCTTTCGGCGAAATGGTATTTTGACGAAAACGTCTTTCAGTGAAAAGTCCATTCAGCGAAGTGGTCATTTAGCAAAGAGTCCTTTTAGTGAATTAGCTTTGGCAAAGTAGATTTTAGTGAAACAGATTCAGCGAAACATCTGGATACTAAAATAATATGTATATATGCATATTATAAATATAGATTTTATATACTAATTAAAATTATCTTATAATCTTTTATTTAATTATAATAGTAGCATATAAATTTTTAATTCTTTCAAATTATAGTTTTCAAAATTCATCTAATATAATATGTATTATTCAAATAGTTTAAATCAACTAGAAATAAGATGGCTAATTTAAGCTTACTATTTATAGCTAATTGATCATTTTTTCTAATTAACATAAACATATGTTGATTGACTTCAATCAAACAAAACCATTTAACATCAATTTAGAACTTAAATTTAATTATAAATTAGTCTAAAATTAATCCAATTTAGCATCAATTCAGCATTAATTTAAAATTAAAATTTAACTATTTTATCAAAAATCATTTAAAAATTTAAAGGAATTTTATAATAATTTCAAAAGGATTATTATAATAAATTTTGGTGCTGTTCTTAAAATTCATTTTAAGAATATTAATATAAAGTTTTTATAAGTTTATACTCATTTTATAATCATTATATAATATTATATTTTTATAATCATTATATATTTATTATATTATATAAACCTTAATCAAAAGTTTTTAAACACATTTTTTGATATTATGTTTCTCAAAATTCACTGATTAAAATTAAATCAAATTTTATATATTTTAGATATAATATCAAAGAATAATATATTAAAATTTTATTTAATTTAAATTACTTTTTTTTAAAAACATATTGATGTAATATTTTATTATAAAAATTAAATTTAGTAAATAAATATATGAAAATCTCAAAATAGATATAAATATAAAAAAATAAAAACTGTTATCTAATACTTATTACTAGTAAAAACTAACTCATACTAGACTAACTGATTATTCTATTTGATTCTAATCACAAAGATTTACTAAGTAATTATCATTACCAAAACTAAATGAAGAGAAAAAGTTAGAATAATTGGTTATTATCAATTTAAAAAAGAGATCAATAGGCCTGTTCATTTCTGGTACGTCAGTTTTTTTGTTCAGTTTTTGTTAAATTTGGTTGGACTGATCTTTTTGTATGATGTGAACTAATTCCGAACTTTAAAAACAAAAAAATTGGCGTTTTTTTAGTTCAAAAAAAACGCATCACGTCAACCAACCAGAAGCGTGAGAAACAAAAATTTTCTCATCAAAAATTGTCAAAATGTCTTCTCGCCAAGTTGATGCTAATGGTTTTCAAGGTTCTCAAAGCTATAAAAATAACTAAAACTTACGAAAATACAGACCTTTAGCTCTAAAGTTACCATATACTCAAATGGTTGATAGCTCTTCTCAGCAATTTTTAAATTTCAATTAACATCTAAGTCAGATACTTAAGTATTAAAACCAAGTACTCCAATGGTAGCTGCTGATATAAACACTCAAGTAATAGAAAGGTCAAACATTATCGTTGATACTACTACAAGGGAAAGACCAAATGATTATGATTCATTGCATAAAACTAATGTTCTTCAGCCTAAGGAAAATACTGGTTTTTTGTTATATGATGTTAACTCTGAACTTGATCCCCGATATCAAGAGGATTTTGATCAAGAGAACTTAATGGTGAGGATAAAATCT